GTTTGGATTTGAATTATAACTGCATGTTTGGGGGCAAAGATTTCAACTTTTCCATACTCTGCCCCTTGACTGGGGAAGGTAAGATAACAGCGGACCAGCTCTTGGGTTCTCACGAGGCTCAAATGAGCTAAGATGGACATGATTGCTTTTTTCGTGTCTCACCTGTACTTTTGGTTCTCATCTGCTTCCTAGCTCATGGGAAAGTTGTTCTCCACTTCTGTGAAATTAAATGTGTCATGTGCTTTCCTTAGGTGAAAGTCACATGAGCGGAAGCCATGTGTGTTACTTGGGAGGAGTGATTCTTGATGTCCTCTTTTCACTTGTGTGGCAATGAGTGTCCAAGGCAGAAACGGTGCGGTACAGCGAGCCCAGAGCTGGTGGGCAGCTGCCCTGACTTCTGCTACAGAGAGAAAAATGCATGTGCACCTGCCAAGCTCCTGGGTGTCAGGGGGCACTGTTACCACCGTGTAGCCACCCAACTGGACGACTCTAGGGCTGATACGATCTTACAGTCCTTAGAGTCCATCAAGCCCGCAGGAACTAACCGAAGACACTGCAGAACAGAAGTCCAAGGAGGAGTCAAAGGAAGAGAGGTGTCCTCCCCCAACTCAGAGCACACACCAGCTCTTGTCACCTGTTTACTGTCCCTCAACCAGTTCTCATTGTTTAAGGTAAAATCTCAAGCACTAGTGTCCTTCTGGTGCTGGTCTCCCACCTGACCTCCTTCCCTCTCCTGCCGTCTGGTCTCTGTAAGCTCCTTAGCATGACAGGCCCCCTACCCCAAGGGCTCTGGACTGGACAGGCCCGGACTGGAATTCTCAGCCCACATCTTTTCTTATCTTCATTTCCCCTGAAATGTCAGCTGCTTGGACAGGCTGTCTCTGACTGGCTATCAGGAGCAGCGGTCCTCCATATGCCCTTGCTTCCCCCTCTCTCTGCAGCGTTTCTGTCTTTCTTTTTCATCATGATCTAGAGTTCATGTTGCTTGTCTGTGTCTGTGCTTTGCTCTTCCTCCAGCATGGAAGAGGAAGCTCAGTGAGGACAGAGTTCACATCTTGTTTTTTTGTTTTTTTGAGACAGGGTCTCACTATGTAGTCCAGGCTGACCTTGAACTCACAGTGATCCTTCTGCCTCAGCCTCCTGAGTGCTAGGTTTACAGGCATGCACCACGACACCTGGCCAATCTTTCTTTCTTGTTTGTGGTTTTATCCTCAGAAACGAAATAAACCCTGGTACACAGCAATGTCAGATATGGAAATTTGGGGGTGATAAAAAAATAGAAATGAAAGAGGGATGGAGGGTTGTCTAGAATTAAATTGGGGTCTTCCTTAATGCATAATTACTCTGAAAGGACTACTGCCAAAAGAAATTAAGAGTTTCTAGCAAAAGTGATGATAATTCAGAAGAGTAATATCTTTTGTAAATGAAACAGCGCTTTATTGTTTTCAGGAAACAATAGAAACTATGAATTAAGATAAATGTATACTTCTGCCAAAATTAGTAAGTCAATAAAAATGCACATCAACATCAGCTTTTATTACAGGCACTGTGTTGTAAACACAAATCCAGAATGTGAGCTACACCTTTCATTTTGAGCATTTCAGTCAATAAAAATCTAATATGCTGGGTCCAAGTTATGACACATTTCAAACTAATGAAACTTTCCTGTAGCTTAAATAAACAAATTGAGATCACCAAGTGTAATCAAAGCCATGTGTATTTGCACAACTCAATAATGTGAGTAGCTTAGACCTTCTAGTGATTTATATTTTAGCATCTATAGCAAAGGTTGAGAGTTTTTAGCATGATGTGGTTTTGGACTACTTATTTCCAAGGGCCAAACAGTAAACTATATAGAATATTCTTCTCTGTATGCACTCACTAGTTGTCTTATACTGAAAACTCTGAGGCAGAAGTCTGCAGAGTGACTAACCACACACCCTGGCCATTGAAGTTGGAAGAGTGCTCTCAGGGTTCCTGGTCAGGCTGTCCTCCTTGCTGTCCTGATTGTGTGGGCGTCTTCATGCATCACAACTGCAAGTGAATGGCTGTGGGGTGCCTTCTCACTATCTTCTTTCATTCTGTGTAAAGACATCCAAAGGCTGATTGCTTGATCACCAAAGGCACCAAATAGGCCCTGCTGGCTGAACCTTTTGGGAAAAGAAGTCTTCTTCACTTTATGTGGTGTCACTCACAAAAGGACAGGAGACCTTTAGGAGCACAGAGGGTCAAGTAACCTCATAACAAGGCAATAATCCTAATTAGAGTTTTCTTGATCCTGAAAGAATCCAAGTCTGGTTGTGAAGGATCCTCAGGTAGTTAGGGAATACCAACTTGCTTGGCTTTGAGATAAGCCCAAGTGATGAATGGAGCACACTTCTGGATGTGTCCGGGTGTCTCATGAGGTGTGGCCTTGGAGACTATGTCTGGTCCTTGGCTGCTTCTTTCTGACACTGTCCCCTGCTCTGCTTCCAGTTCCCATGAGCTAAACAGCTTTGCTTCATCATGAACTTCCACCATGATGCTTCTACCTGGAGTCAGATGACTGTGGACTGAATCCTCTGAAACTATGAGCCTAATTTAGCCCCTCCTTCTTCTCCTTCTCCTCATCCTCCACCTTCTACTTCTTCCTCTTCCTCTCTCTCTTTCCCTCCTTCTCCTTCTCCTTCTCCCC